TGCTGATACACGATGAAGCTGGGTACCGTTATATACTGAGAGTGCACAAAGCAAAAAATATGCACATATTTTTTCTATGCCAATGCGTATATCTGCCGCTTGAGTCAAACTCTACTACAAATCCGCATGCCCGGTATCGTATGGTCGTACGCCATCGTGTGATACATATTTGATCAGTGTGAGTCGTGCGAGTAGTGAGCTAGGGTCGTTTCAGTGACTCGGAAAAGCGGTTTTTCTGAAGATAATTATTTTGTTCACTGGCGTGGTGAGTGTGGTACCATTTTTTTGTTATTTCCTGGGGTCGGAAATTTTTTTTATGATAGAATTGAGTTTTCCATTACGAATCAACCAAATTTTGCAACAAGCTCCTAAGAAAATTTTCTATAGTCCATTTTTAAATATCGTCCATATTAAGCTTTGTACTATATATTTGGTTTATAGCTATAAACAACGTGTAGTTACTTGATTATATTGCGCATAAAAAATGGTCGTATTATCCGGTACAGAGATGGGAAGACGGGTCAAGTTCAAATTATTGCAGTTGATCGAGTACATTGGTCGCCAAACTTCATCTAAATCTAAGGCGATGTAGCTTAACATACAGGTGCAATTTCGTAATTCTATGTTCCTATGACACATTTCACGTAAAGACTGAAATAGAGTTGAGAGAATAATTAAAACAACATAGTATCCCGTGTGGATTTTTTTGGCATTTTGCCGATTATTTTGAGACATTTTGAATGACAAAAATAGATTATCTAGAACAAAATAGACAATTTCAGTTAACTTTAGTATTAAACATTCAACTGACTGTTAGTCATTTTGTTTCCACATGGGATGAGCTGTGCTGTCCAACATTTTTTCAGCGTGGCCAATTTTTATAAAATGTCATCATGAATATTGTCATTATGAAAATATATATAGCCAAAATTTTGCTGAGATAATGCATTACAAAAATCTAGTATAAACTGTATCAGTCAAAGATAATCACTTCTAGATAATCACTTTTTGTCATTCAAAATGTCTCAAAATAATGCATTACGTCACTTATTCTTACAGCGCGTGAGACTTCAGAATAAAGCCCCACAAACGAACATTTTGTCTCAAAAGCACCATTTAGATAACTACACTCAAACCATTCTCCGTACAAATTTTGAGTTTTTCACACCAAATAGGAGCAATACACAATACACTCCATATCGGAGTAAATGTTTGTATGAGTACGCTCAAGCGCTCCAATTTTTCTGCCAGTTTGCACAAATTTCAGCGCTCGCGCGCCCTCGGCGCCTCAGCGCCGTGGTGCAGCGCACCACTTGCGCACTATCTGGGACAGGCCCTGGCTCTCTATGAGGACTTTTCGAAAATGAGGTCCGAAATATTTTTATTCACCGCTATTGTTTGCATTGATTTCACAGCATTTTTTGAAGAATCAACTCAGATGAATATTTTAATAATTATCGTATACCATTTATATTTCGACTCACAAAAGGAATTTTGCATGAACATTCATTGAGTAGCCCAAACGCGATCAAGTTGCAAACCTTAGTAGGTGGGGAATTGTGAAACACCCTTTGTGGAGAAATTTGGTCCATTTTTCAAGTCAATTTTGCATATTTTATGCATATTTATTACATTTCTTGCGAAAATTTGGCAAATAATTCAATGCAATTTATGCGCTCGCGCTGTTCACTTGAAATGCACCAAAATGATTGGCAGCTATTTCACAGGCAACAATTGCAAATCTGACTAATAAGTTATTAGTAATAACAATCGCTATTTTTCAAATACTTCTTTATTGAAATGTTTTCTTCTATCTCTCCATCACACACTTATAATCTCGCATTGATTTTATATAGAATACGAAGTGTGAAATTGTAAAGCGCCGTGGATTTCATGCGGCAAAATTCAGTACTAATTGTTGTGAATTCGTTGAACTCAATTGGTTCCAAGCATTGCGCATGTTCATTAATATACAGCACCACAGCCTGGCGCTCGGGCGCACGAGCACTCAAATTTATGCAAACTGGCAGACAACTTAGGACGCTTGAGCGCCAAAGGTGCTCAATTGCTTAAATTGTCCAAAAATGTGTAGAAAAATTCAGGCGCAGAGAGCGCCGAAAGCGTTTGATCAGCTTTGTGAGAACATATGAGAAATTTCGCCGAAAATTTAAGGTGCTTGAGCGCTCAGTATTATAGAAAAAAAGAAAAATGGAAAAAATGGAACGCTTAGAGCGCTTTAGTTTCGCAATTTATAAACAGGACATGTATAAAAATAAATAGAACAACGCTCGCGAAAAAGTAAATTTTGTTCATGATGACTTTTTTCGAGTGAGAATCTCCTCATTTGACTATTAGAATATTCAGCGCGAGATTGAAAAGGGCGCGAAAATCGAAGAACATGATGTCCAATCCCGTGTGCAAATAAAGTGACCGACAATCATTCAGTTGTATGTAGCTGCAAATAACTAAAACTGGCTAAGTTGATTGAATTCAAGAATGTTGTATAGAAACAATCACTTTTAGTTATTCTTTCAGCCAGCCGTCAAATTTCGGACTTTTTGGCTACTAGATGACTGCAGTCGAATATTTTGTTCGAGATAATCACTTTTAGTTACTGATAGTCAGCCAAAAAGTCCGAAATTAGACGGCTGGCTAGTCAGTCACAAATTTTTCACACGGGATGTTCAACAGTGTTGTACAAAGATAAAATTTAGATAGATAAGATGATATCTTTATCTTTATCTAAATCAGTCACTCAGATTGGTCATCTATCTTGATATCTTATCTGAATACTTTTTTCGTTATCTATCTCGAATTTTTTTGATAATTTCAAAGATAACTCGATTTTCTCATAGAAAAATATCAAAGATAACTAAAAGATAATTGGAAAAAAATATCTTATCTCTTATTGGATAGATAAGATAATATCTCATCTTCATCTAAATTATTTTTATGATTTTTCACAAATTTCTTATTTTTATCTAAATAAATTTCAAGTCCTTTTATAAAACACTGATGTTCAAGTTACTGGATTATATTCAAGTGCCACTTGTATTTCAAGCGCTGTTTTCCAGTATCAAAATATAAACAATAAGATTTCAATGCATATTCAACCGATTACAAAATATATTCAATTATTTTGAGCGCCCTTTTTCATGTAACTCTCAGTAAGCATGTGTATTCAAGGGCTATATTTTTGAAATGACAAAAAAAAATTGAGCTCGCAGTAATGTATAATATTTTCAATGTATCTAAAACGCAAATTTTCTGTATTACATAAGGCAGATATCTTGCTAATTTCGTTGGATTTTTTCTTTCGTGCGTTTTATATATCTATATACGAAACAGTGTATTGTAAACCATATTATCAAGTTCATACTATGAACGATACCCAAAATAGCGTACAGAACTTTTCTAACAAGAAAGTTACTCATTTTGAGAAATTTTCTATTTTAATTATTTTCGTTCCTCCTTAGAAAAGGACGCTCTGTCAATTTTGCACCAGGGCGCAAAAAGCGCACGGACAGGCTCTCTATAGCGCGATATTCATTACTTTTACCTCTCGTTTGCTAATCTACGCCAAAGTTGGAATCTGTTCCGGAAATATCCGCTCTATGTGCAAGAGCCAGAATTTCCAGAGCCGCCGGAAATCACCACCTTCACAGTCATTCCGAAGTGCACATTCCAGCGCAGACACGTGAAAATTGATACGGATGCATTGTACAATATTTTATGTGGCGTCAAGGCAATGAAGCGAGAAGATGGTCTTCGAGTCAACAAGAAAGGCGAAGTCCTCCAGCGCTACATCAGACTGGATGAATTTAAAAGAATAGGAAGCTGGCGTTTGTTTTTCAACATGGACGAAATCACCAAGTTGGTCAAGAATAAGAATGAATTCGGCAATTCGATAATATCAGATGGTGTGTCAGCGTCTTTTGCTGATGAAGAAGAGGCCGAAACCAAACGCAAATATTTGGCAAAAGATTTCGTGTATGCGTTGGGAATTGATCCAGGCATGTGAACCTTTATTGCGTCGGTCCGCCTCGATCTAAAGAGCGGCGAAGAGGTAAGTTTTTGGAAAATAATGAAAAAAGGAAGAAGAACAGAAGAAGAAGAATTAATTCACTTTTGTTGTATTTTATTTTCAGACCAACGAGAAGATTTCGTTCAAACAATACCATCAGAAATCGAAGCAACATGCGCGCAACATTAAAGCCAAACGAATACCACGAGTTTTTACGCATGACGAGCAAGAGGACCCCGAGCGTATCGCCGCAGAGATTGGCCAAACACCGTCGCCACGGACTATCTCTTGGCGCCATTACATCGAACATCGCCTGCGAATGTCCCAAGATGATCGCGGCATATAGAGGTGTCAACGGACAAAATTTTGTTCATCCGTCCGTTCGAACATTTTTTGAAAAAATTTGGACGTCCGATCCCAATGTCCGGGAACCGAAAATAATTTTCGGACGTCCGGTCCGAATGTCCGAATTTTTTTTTCGGACGGACGGACGGACAATGTGTTTTGTCCGAACTTTTTGAAATTTCTTGGACGTCCGGACCGAAATTCAGACGTTTGGTATCAAAGAAGCAACACTTCTTCAAAACCTGCCAACCAAATGCTGCTGAAAACGCTGGAACAGAAGACGCTGTACAATCACGCAAGTTGCTCAAATCACTTTGGCATCGGGACATATCAGCAGCCAAACTGCTCATGTACAAAGGTTCATTATCTATTGTTATTTCATTTGAAAATTGGATTCGATTTGGTTTTCGCTTGAATTAATTGTTATTTGTGTGCTTTTTTTCTATTTGCTTAGGTCTTTGCACGCTGTTTGGTGAACCGATACATCCAGCATTACTGCGACGACCAGATGACGAAGGAGTTCCAATCAATCCATAATTCAAAATGCAGCATTTATCATCAAAGCTTTTTTTAACAAATATTTTCTAATAGTTTATTAGAGTTCTCAAGCCTTGCACTTAGTGGGCTATTTTAGGTGCATAAGGTGTAGCAACTTTATGTGCCACAGTACATGAGTGGTTTTATAGACGTTATTTGATGATCAGAATGGGTCATGTTCATTTTCCGGTTTGACAATGTCAAATTGACATCACGCCACCGCATTCTTTGGATATGACTTGTTCAATGCATCATATCACGGTAAGTATTCTCACAATTCGGAGTAGGCAAACCGTCAGAAGTAGTACGGAAAAATGACAAATTGCCGAAGTAATTTTTTCATTGGAGGTAAATTGTTGAATTACCACCAATATTTTTATTCGATAGGTAAATTTGAATTCAGTGGGAAAAAGCCGCTAACAGGGCATTTGAAGAGTGATAAAACACACCAAACACGTATAATTAGTGAGAAATAAATCTTTTTGATTGTTTTTTCAAATTTTCATCAAGTGTGTTGCAGCAGTGAACAGCGAATTGAATCTAAATTCCAAATGGCACAAAACATTGAATTTTTAACAACAATCATCTCGAATCATCTTTGCAACACGAAAAAAGGCTAATTGAATTTGTTGTTTAGCCTTCTTCGGCTATTACACGATACGATTTGCAACGATTTCTGATGTTGTTTTCATTTTTTGACAATCGGTTGTCGTCACACTGAATGTTTCATGCACAATCGTGTTTCCGCACACCAACGTGATCACACATAATGAACGCAACGAAGTGTGTGCAAGGAATTGCCACATTCAAAGGGCACAACATTCGATGGCGAGAATGAACACATTAAGAATAAAAAAAATATTTCCATCATGGAATTCGATAGGGGCTACTCCACTTTCATAAATGGCAACTTATAACCAATAAATATGATTTCATACAAATATCGCACCAAAATTGTCTAAACACTCAAATGTCTACGATTTTAAACACTCTTTCACCACTTTTGACCATTTTGTCATGCATGTTTTTTTCTTCAAAAATTCTGGAAGCGAATTCTGGTGGATCGTCAGGATCGTCCAGAACTACTCCCGGTTCTGGAAGTGTGTTTTGGTGGATCTTCAGGATGTATCAGATCGGTTTTGAAAATGCCCTGGTCAATCCTGAGGATCCATTTCCAGAACCGGGAGCAGTGATCAACGCTGAACGGACGGACAAGACAATTTCAAGAGCCCTGGACGGACGGACGGACGGGCCAAAAAGACGGACAGTCCATCCGTTTGACACCTTTAATGCAAGTTTCTAAATTTGGGACAAAGTGATTTTCTTAGTACAAAACCATAAATTCAATCAACTAAAGTCAACTGAAGAACAGTCAGTCAGTCATTTTTTTCACGAATTTCATGTGTTTGAATTCAATCGAAATTATCACAATATTAAAAATCTAAAACTTGTGATATCGAGAAAAAATTCAGGGCCCTGGAACAATTTTGCCTCGGGGCCCCCGAAAATGCTTAGACGGCACTGGTGTGAACACCATTAATTGATACAGAATTTTTTCCTCTTTAATTTAAAATCTACCATTTCTTTTTTTCAGGTTATGAAAAACACCCTATTGTTACATACCGAATTAAATCTCATGACTGTAACAATGGACTGGTTTTTGAAACGATTATCTCCGCACTGTAGGAATTGTCGATCCATTATATGTTTTGTTTTAGAAATGTTCATAATCCATTTAAAATTTTTAGAACAATCATATGGGTTTTCTGAAAATTGTACATTTTATGAGACTTCGATATAATACTTTCACGCTTTCATGTATATTTTATTTCGACATTTTACCGCTTAAATATAACTCTTGAAGTTTTGATGGTAATATCAACGATCCGTCATAATAATCAAATTGGTTTTTACGTAAATCAATTGTCTTAATGGTTGATAGATGCTTGAAGATGCTCGAATGTAGATGCGTCAACCGCGTATATGAAATATTTATATGCTGTAAATCGATATTATTTATTGAAAAAATATATAATGAATCAGTAATCAGAAATCTGTGTTAAATTATATGAATGGTTTTGTGGTGTATAAAATGATATTGTACAAACATTCAACTGTCCCTTTATGTGAGTGTTATAAGGCCCACTAATTATATTAATTATTAATCATACTAATGTTAAAACTGTGGTTAAAAATGTGGGTTTTTGTGTGAAATTCCAAATAATGGCCCACACATGATTAAATTAAAGGTGTTAATCGGACTATACATTTCGAAAAAATGACAATTTAGTTTGAAAGAGCGATAACAAACCAAAATTCATGCGATTTTGTGCTCGAAAAGATACAAGCCTTGAACACTAAGAAAGGTACGGGTCCCGATGGTATGCAAACGATAATTACCCGTCTTTCTTGGGTTGAATCATACATATCAAACAGATCACAATTCGTTGAATATGGAAACAGCGAGTCGAACGAATTCATCGTATCATCCGGCATACCACAGGGAAGTTATTTCGGACCCACACTATTTTTGTTCTTTATCAACGACATAGTGGACGAAATAGACGACGTGTTCATTTCCTTGTTCCGATGATGTGAAATAATGGAATTTTGATTTGGGAATTTTGTTTCGGAAATTTTGTCCTGGAACCCAAACAAAGTGGCTGATCCATTAAAAAATTCAACCACCCGAACAAATTAGTACGAAACGAAAAAAACCAAACTTTTAATAAAAAATACTGTACTGATAAATCATTACCAAATGTATAGATTCTATACTATAGAAATAATGATAATCAACTGTTAATTTTACACAATTTTTTTTGTAATTTCAGCAACATTGACTGTAAAAGCACCTATAGCTTGTACAATTATTTCTTGACCACTACGATAATCTTAGGCACTGCTACAATCGGTGCCGGATCTGGGCACGTGCAAGGCGTGCATTTGCACTGGACGGCAACATGTTTGGGGCGGCAAAATCCCAAATTTAAAATAAAATTAAATTATGAATGCAAAAAAGAAAACGTGAAGAGGAAAATTAAACACAGGGAAATTATTTGCGCCAAATGTTTCAGCTGATTTACTGAAAAAAACTTCGGCCCGCTTTGCTCCCAAGTTGAGATGTATTTTTCAATCTAATTGAAAAAGGCGCCATAATTCTACTTGTACCGAGAGCCAAAACGTCTTGATAGTCGCCACAACGCCTTTAAGCAAATATTTCGGGTTTCTGTGCGATACATCAAAGCCGTGTCAGAAAGAAAATTATCGCCGTAGGTGCTTCTACAATTATTTTTAGGCCACTACATTGATTCTGGGTTACTACAATTATTAAAACAGTTTGGACCAGTTTTGGAGCATTTTTTCTCCCTAAGAAAATAAATAAAATAATTGAGAAAATAATTCTGACAAAATGGAT